TTATATTATAGTATTATACTAATTGTATATTACTATTTTATGCAAGTAGTATATTGGCACAGAAAGTGAAATTGCTAAGCTGAGTTCAAATTCCAGGCTAGTCTGTTGTTTTTACTTTTAAGCAAATGCCCCCAGGAAAGGCATGAATCAGTCTCTTCACTCTTCCTAACTATTGGTTAAGTAACAGGGTAGACTGGGCTCTCTAGTCTAGTCTAGGAGAAGGACTATTAATTCAAAAATGTGGAGAAGGCAACAGGAAACCACTCCACTATCTTTCCCAAGAAGCCATAGCAATTGATAGAGAATAAAAAATTAGAATGTTTAGTGAGCTATGATTAACTACATCCTGAAGAGACATGACATTTAAAAAAAAAAATGTAAATTGTCTCACCTACAAAAGCACACATGGCAAAGAGACTACCTTGTTTATCCCCTTCCCCTCAGCGTAGATGTGTAAATATGTTTTTACCAAAAGTGTCTTTTTCTGACACAGATGAATAAACACGTTCAAAGGATAACGTTCAAAAACCAGCTACAAACATGTTTATACATTGAACTTGATTCTTTTTATGCCTTTCTAAGTTTGAAATGAGTCCAATTATCAACTCATATGGCTAATAGAAGTGTTGGTCACCACTCAGGTACTTCAAGGTGCTTCACTTTCTTAGTTACTATATTAAAAGGAAATAAAAAAATTTGTCTGAAAATGAAAACATTTTTCCAAAAATAATTGGCAGGAAAGGAGTTAATATATACTTGTTATATAGGAACAGATGCTTTGTGTTATATTATTAATTGAGATGTTGGTGCACCAAAAACTTAATTTTCTGTTCTTAGATTGTTCAACATGAAATTGCCTGTTCTCATAAAATTGATATTATAACAGATTTGTTGGTTATTCAGTAAAAATTTATTTTTGTTAATTTTTACTACATTTATAAGTAAATAGGGAAAGCCTTTCCACTTATCGTCATATTTTCTACTTGTATAAGTTCAAATTGGATCACGCTATAAAATTATGTAAATTCCACATTTAGGGAAGACAATGCTGTTAATGACTAAACAATTATTTTTTGATTTCAAAAATTTTTAAGTAAATATTTCATTTCTGAAATTGAGAAAAGTTGGCTAAAAGCAACAATACAAAAAGATTTGAAGACTGTGATAGAAAATGATCCCAAAACTTTAATCAGAGAAAATGCAGTAAATTTTGCTGTATCAATTAAAATGATTTGAAATCATTTTAAAAATCTGAAGAAAAAAAATTTTAATAAATAGGTTTCATTAGAAATGAACAAGGAACCAAAAATTAGACATATGAAGACCAGTAGTAATAATGACCAAATGTCTAAAATTAAACTATTTTGTGATAAAAGGGAGCTTTTGTATAATAACTGGAGATCTGCTCAATGAGAGACCAAAACTGTATTACCATCCCTGAAGGGTAAGGGACAGTTTTTACTGCAATGGAAGTGGCCAATCAATGTACATAAGCTTTATAAAATATCAATTTGAAAAAGAGAAAAGGTGTCATTTTCCTATATGACAGCATTTGTTCTATAATGATGTTTCAAAATTTCAGTTAGTTGAAGATGGAGACTTTATTGCTTATTTACTTAAAATCTCCTACTTAGATAGAATCAAATCAAATTTATCAATTATTTGACTGAAAAATTTATTTTAGAATGATTATTAAAAATTTGCTATCAAAGTGAATGTTTGAACTGAATAGATCATTTTTTTCATTGTCATATTCTTTTTCAATTTAATTTTTTTGAAAATATCATCCGGTTCACACTACACCCTGGTCTTTTAAACAGGAGGTTTATCCCTTGTTGCTTATTTAGAATTGAGTTTCCAGTTCCTTCTAAACTCTTCTCATTCTCTTTTACTCCCAGTAGCTCCTGCGTCTCAGTGGCATTATTGCCTTGCTTAGGGTGAATTGATTAAAAGAAATAACTCACCAAATTCATGTTGAACAATCTGATAAATACATAATATTTCAGAATTAAGGGAGAACATCTGGAATAATTCTGTGTGTTAATGGTTCACTCAAAATATACCATAAATTTCAACACTTTCTTGTCAGCATAACTTAAAGAACACAACCTAAATTATCATAGCATTGTATAAGAAAGTTAAATAACTTGAGTTACAGGATTGTCATCTCTTCATAAAGTACCTGCAATACAGACAAATTCTAAAAACATACTTGTTCAAGTGCTGAAAAATTTAACAGTTTAAGAAAGTGTGTGGTCAGATGCAAGAATATTTTTTTTTACTGCTGAGTGGTTGGTGTGGCTCTTTTGGCAAAGATTTTAGTGCTTGTAATATCAGTGGAAGATTTGGCTTGGGCTTAATCCTAGGAACTGGGCAAGTTTTTGCATTTTCTGCCCATTGTAAGCACTAACACTAATTGCTTTAGTTTTCAATAACCAAATGCTTTAATTTTAACTAAGGACTTTTTTCTTCTCACTAACAAAGCATTTAATTGATTGCATGATTCCTAATGCAATTTATAAAGAAAATGTTAAAAGCTTTTTTTTTACTTCTTTCTAAGCTGTATTTTTTTTTATCAATAACAAACCTCTTTCTAACTCAAGATATCGTTTATGAAAAATTAGAGATAATGTACTAGCTATTATTTAAAAAAAAAACTCATGTATTAGTAGTAATTATAAAATGCCAGGATATGTAAGTAGTGAATGAAACATTTGCAAGCTGAGTTTGAATTCTGGTTGAGTTTTACATTCATTTTCACACAATTAAGGTATGAATCTATCTCTTCTCTTGCCAACTATGGGTTAAATAGCAGGGTAGACTAAGTCATCTAGCTTTTGGTTAGCAACCAGTATAGAAGAAGGATGACTCTGAATTCAAGACCATATTTAGCCCTGGCAAAGCACATACTATACAGTCATTGAAAGAATCATGGAATTCACAATGGCTCCATGATCTCGACTGTAGTCAATGTGATATAGATAGAACAGATTAAATGCCAGAAGCCTCTGATGGTTTCTGTATTAACTGTTACAAAAGACTTCACCTTGTAACGGTCAACATGCTACTTTGGCATGTCATTATTGAGTAGACAATAAATTACATCTGGCAGCAAGGCCTCTGAGGTTTTGAGGAGGGTGGAATGACCTCTTAATTGCTATTGTTCAAAGGTCCACCCTGACCCTGGATGGTAACACCTGTTAAGGCCCCAGCTATGAGCATATGGGCAAATAGTGATATCCCAAACAAAAACAAAACACTATGAAAGTATAAAAATACATTTTTCTAGTAAAATTATCAACAATAACTATTTACAGTAAAATTACCAACAATACCCATTTGTAGTAAAATGACTTACAATACATTTTATCTGAAGTTGGAGGCATACAATTGCATTCAAAATATATTTAGGTGAAACCATAGAATTGTGTTCAAAAACTTATAGAGGTTTATATGCTGCTAAACAAAACCAACTACTGAGTAAAGTACTAAGAAACAGGAAAATTTTGTTAGAAACAAAAAAAAAAGACTTCTGAACTGTTATGTAATATCAATCCATTTGTATGGCATTGAATGTTTTATAATCTCTTCACAAATTAAGAGAAAACTGGAGGTAAAAGAAATATGGTTCTACAGAAGGATGCTGAGAATTCCATGGACAGAGTGTGTAAGCAACAAAGAAGTCTTAAAGTAAATAGAAATAAAAAGGATACTTTTTTCTGATTTTGAGTATGTATCTTTTTTGTTTCTGTTTTCCTTCAGACTTCTTCATTGCTTACATGCTTTGTCTATAGAATTCTCAGCATCCTACTGTAGAACTGCATTTCTTTTGCCTCCAGTTTTCTCTTTCAGTGGCTGAAGAGACTGATATGACATCACACAAAAAATATCAATACTAAGTGGTTAGTATGCGATGTGAGTAGATTGTGTAGCACCAGTTTTTAAAACTTGTCTTAACAAGATTCTAGCTTTCATCTATGGACAGCCATGCTACTGTTATCGTTACAGTGTATGCTGGTCTACATTAATGGTAATGGTGAAATTAGCTGTTTCTAGACAGGAAGCATTTATCATTCATTGACAGAACAGTTAGCAGTACTCGCAGGTTGAAGTTTATAAAAATTATATTTATTGGCATTTTCCAAAAGTACATGTCATATGCAACAACTTTTGTTGATCAAAGAATAATCTAAATGCAATACATAAGGTGTTATAAGAATTTCAGTAAATCAAGTAAGAAGTTTGGAAAATATTCCCCTTCAAAAAGACATAAAACTTATACATGTAACCTGATCCCAGCATCTATAAGCAAACCTTAGTCTTTAAAGAATGCTTTTGGTCACTAGAATTCATAAGATATTTAAATTTATTAGTGTTAAATAATATTATCATTATTCAAACCTGGATCATTATAAGTACTTTCATTAAAATGATATAAAATAATACACTGTAGTTCACAAATTAGAAAATATCAATTTCATTATTTGGACATCATTCTGCTCACATCTGCTCATTTTATTTTAATAACTTAATTTGTTTCAAGTAATCAAACATTTCAATTTTCTTTGATAATGTGTTGTTGTTTTCATGAAGTTTTGTTTTAACTGTTCAATTTTTAACCCAAAGACAGTGTGTCTGCTTTTATTGCAAATAATACATTTTTAAATTTTATACATTACTAATTCTTTTTTTTCTTTTTTCATTTTAAACTTTGTGAAATTGTAATTTTCAATTTGAATTTGAATTTTCATTTATCTTGTACAGCCAATAACAAAGAGCAATAACTGCAAAGCATGAAGCATGTTCCAGTTTGGACATTGCCAGTTGTTTTTTAGAAAAGGCTGTACGCAGCATATACTTACTATTCCTCATTGCTATTGCCATATCTCTTGTGTGACATGATTCCATTGGCTTTTCAAAGCTCTTCTTTTCCCAATGCCTTTGTTTCTTTCTTTTCTCCATTTAGCTCAATCACTGTTGCATGCTATTAATTTTTACAGATCCGTAAACTACGGAGGGAGCTCGACTCTGCCCAAGACAAAGTCAGCACTTTGACCACACAGCTAAGTACAAATGTATGAAGGCATTTATTATTATTATTATCATTATCATTCATATTTTAACATTATTGATTACCTTTTTCATCTTGTTATTTCATCTCTTCTCTTCTTTGTACATGATTTTTTTACACTGATTTCTTCTTTCTGTTCCTAGTCTTAGTGATACATGCTGCATGCATTTAGTTCTCTGATTCTGTCTATAACTATCTGTTTCTTTCTGTCTATTTCTACTTCAAGGCTTACTTATTTATCTACCTCATTCTGTTCACATCATCTCAGTTTACTTTCATCTATGTATCAAACTCATTCTTTCCTAAAATATTCAATGAAGAAATTATTTTCTTTACCTTAATAAACACTTCTTTTAAATCACATTAGAACAGACACAAATAGATCCAGTTAAACCCAAGAAGCAGTTATTTCATGCTAGAGATAAATCTTTACCCTCCATAACTGCTAGTTGATGTCTAATTGGCAAATATAATTTTTATTTTCAAAAATATAACGTTAATTCCATAATAGATTTGTAAAAAAGACATTTTCTAATCAATCTATATGATTAATAAATTTTCCAGTGATTAAGACGTAATTGTTTTTTTGGTTTTTTTTCACCCTTCTACTGCATTATTTGTAAACAGCAGTATTTAAGAGAAATACTTTTTTGCCGATTAACTTCCAAAACAGGAGGTTCCTTATTTACAGAGTTACTTCCCTCTAACCATCCTCAGGCAATAAAGATCACAATTTGAAACATTTTAAAATGTTCTGATCGAATTGAAATTGTTTTGAAATGAAATTTCATCGAATTAAATTTTGTTCTATTTAAGAATAAATATAAAACATGAATTTTGATCAGTTTCTCATTTCCAAAAATGCCAGTCTTGACTAATTAAAAAAAATGATCTTTGGAAATTGCTAACATCTAAGAAAAATATTAAAATAAATAATTATGCATCATTAACTTTTATGTGTCATTTCTTTAACAAAGTTTAGTATAGTTTTTACTTGTTGACCAGATTTACGTATTAAAAAACATACACCTTAGTTTCTGCATTCATGAATATTTATATGACAGACAGGTTAGAAACAAAGCTACAATATTCTCTATGGAAACTTAAATTGTAAAGGGAAATTAAGAATTAGTGTACAGAAAATTTATTTTTATAATTTTTGTGCCATTCTTCCTGACAATGTTGCTTTCTTTTTTTTATATTTTATTTTCCAAAATTTCTTATTTCTTTTAACCTTTCTTTTTTCTGCATTTCATTTAATCTTACCTTTCACTCTCTCTACTTTTCTTTCTTCCATTTTTTCTTTTCTCTCTTTTTTTTTCTCTTTTTCTTTCTGATTTCTTTTAATCTTTCCTTTTTTTTTTGTTCTTTTCATTGTTGTTTTTTTCTCTTTTTCTCTTTTTCATTTCATTGTCATTTTACCATATTTTTATCATTAACTTAATTTCTTCAATTCATTTAGTTCCAGTTTTTTGGGTTATTTCATAGAAAAAAAAGTAAAAATTGTCATCAACATTTAAATATATGCCACCTATTGTGATTAAATATATTTGTAGTTTTCCTATTTCTTTTTAATTATTTCTCTTTATATATTTTTAAATTTATTTATTTCACTTTAATCTCTCTCTCTCTCTCTACTAGTTTTATTTAATTTAAATTTCTTTGTCTTCTCACTAGCTGAAGAAAGTAGAAAAGTAGTCTTGTGGTGGTAGTGGTGCATCCATTACTTCTTTATGTGTATCCAGCTATTGTTATTAATGTGTGTCTTGTCCATTAAAACACTCTCTTTCTTTCTTCACTAACAGCATGAATTTCAGTTCTCTAGCTTATGAACTGAACAATCAGTTGCTATGACTACAATTAAGTAACATTGGTGTAATGTCTGCCTATTGCAAAACACTTTACATTATTCAAGTTTTGTTTTATTTATTATCATTTTTTTATTTTATTCAACAATATTTATTTTTCAGGTATTTCCTTTTGTCCTATCTCATTAATATCATATGAATTTACCATTAATGGTATTCTGGTATCTGTGTTGCTTCAGAGAGTTTTATTTCATCAGTGTCACATTCCATATGTGTTCAAATTTTGAGAAATTCAAAAAATCCCCACAACGGATTCCAGAATAGAACATTACAAAGAATTTATTGACATGTTTTGTTTCAGTATGGATTGTTCCTAAGGTGTGAAAGAAAATTTATGAATTTCATTTGATGTGTGAACAAGTTGAAAATTCTGTGTCGATATCTCAAAAAAAAAAACCAGAACAATTGTTGAATAGAGTTTTATCTTCTCTTTTTTATCTGTTATGTGTGAAAAGTGTTGAATATTAAAGTTATAAAAAGATTTTAAATATTTTTAAAATGTCTGTGTGTGTGTGTTATCATTATTTTGTGCAATTGCTTTATTTTTATGACGAACATATAATTTCAACATTAAAATTTATGCAGTAACAAACCTATACAAAGAAGCCTTTAAATGAAACTTGTAACAATAAACTACTAAGTGAATATAAATCTTCAGTAAAGAAAAATTTTTTTTTAAACCTTTATTGTAATAAAAAGTTGAACGAAGATAGGCAAACTTGTAAAAAATATATAATTAGATTTATGGAATTTAAATCCTTGAATAATCTAATATATTAAAGTTATCTCCCCTAACAAAAAATCATTTTGTTACATTTAAGTTTCAAATAGACAGGCTAGTTGGAATAAAAGATGAGACGAGAATTTTTTTTAAATTAGAATTTTCAATGATGGAACACTGTGTCCAAGAATGTTCTTAGCTTAAATTAAGTGGGGTGAGGAATTTCCTGAATATTTAATAAAAGAGGCACTTGGAATAAGGATGTCTTAGATGGATTTTCACCATGAAAAGGATAATTGTCCTGATCTGTATATTTGAAATGTAAAGGCACTCACAACTCAGAGTTTAAATGTTAGGCTTGTATTTGTATAATGATAATTATTTATTTGCCTTTATTCATTATTGCTTATAAACTCTTTCCATTTTAAAAACCAGAGTGAAGCCATATTATATTTTAATATGTACACGTGTGTGTGTGTGTGTGTGTGTGTATATATATATATATATATATATATATATATATATATATATATATATATATATATATATATATATATATATATATATATATATACACACACACACATACACATATATATATATATATATATATATATATATATATTATCCCTGTACATGGCATCTTTTAAAGGTTATATTAAAATGAATATTAAACTTTTTTATGGTATTTTTATTCTTAGCTTTAGTTCTTTTTTTTATTTTATATATTAAAACCTCAAGTAACATTTCAAGTCACATTTTTTTTCTTCTTTCTGGAAAAAATACCTATTGTTTTTTAGAAAGTTATCCTTTTGGCAAAATTCTGTAATAAATTTCTAGTCATTGTTTTTCTTCTTCTCCTCCCTGCTAAAAACCCTACATAGTTTCCAAATTTTATCAGCTGATATTGCACTCAGTGACTCCTACTACCAGTAAGCAGAAAAAAACTGTTCAAATTTAGGATCAATAATATTCTCAAAGCTTTTTCATCTTCAGATAAATTTTTTTTAAATATTTTAAAATATTTTTCCTTTTGTAACTTTTCATGAAAGTGTTAAAAATAAGAATTGATCCTCCTGTTAATTCCTTTTGTTCACACTGTGAATATTCTTGCAAGAAATTTAGCATTTATTTCAAATGCTCTATGGGAAAAGTTGTTAATTTTATTTGATCTGCATCCTGTCACATGATCCACATTTCTTGTTGCGTGCTGAAGCAAGCTTGAATTTTTGATCATGGCAAAAATCAAATACATACAAAGTTCAAAAAGTTGACAAAATCACTTTACGAACTCACTTCCTGTTTTGCTATCAACCCAACCCAGAATAACATTACTCTGCCAACAATCATATTTTATAAATTTCACAAATAAAACATCCTTTTTCAGAAATACATCAGCAGTTATCGTCTAAGATGATTTTTCACTGATTCTATCTTAATTTTAAAAAAATCACAAAAGTCACTCATACTTGTAAAATTCCCCTTTTACTAAGTAATAAGTATTTTTTTTCTTTTAGAAGAGAGTTTTCTTATAGCAATACTTATTCTTTCACTGATTCAGTGGTATTTTATAATTGTTTTTTAATTTTTGAGTATATCCACTGTGCTATGAGGTGAAGTTGCAGTTTCACACTTACATTTTTGCTGAAACTGCTAAACAGAAAACTACGTTTGTCTTCTTGGCCTCAGTCTATGACGATGCTATTGAGCTGAGCTGTATCAATTTTGCTGAAACTGAGAACTAAACAGAAGACTACATTCATCTTCATGGCTTCAATCTATGACAATATTATTGAACTGAATTGTGTCATTTGTTTAAAATCATTACTGCCATAAATTTAAAAAATGACCCAGAAAACTTTATTTTCTTTTTTTGTTTTTTTTCTCATAACACTAGCTTCTAGAACCTTTATAAGTTTTTTCTTTTTAACTAAAGTTCACAAGGCTTGAGAACCACTCAAAGTAGAGGGTTGCTGAATGAGGTGCGTGATATGAGTGTAAGAAGAGATGATAGAAAGGGAAAATTATGAGGATAAGGAAGATAGATAACAATTAACTTGAAAATGCCTCATATATATATATATATATATATATATATATATATATACAAACACACATCTTTTTTACATCTTATAGACAGAAAACATTTACAGGTCTCATTCCAGAAAATAAGTACTAACAAAAGCCCCCACACACCCCCATAATGTATTTTATGCAAAAAAGGTTTGCAGTATGATAACAGATGTTCAAAAATATTCATTTTATGAGAGGACCAGATAAAAAAAATATCTGTATCTGATTTACCCACGCCATTTTTATTTTGTGGCACTCTGCTTTGAGTGTAGATGTTAGTACCTTCTTATGTCAGTTGAATTTGATTGATATTATTATAAAATTATGATAGCAATATTTATCCCATCTGAAAACAATCAAAATACTTTTGATAATGATGATGAACTTCTTTCCCAAATGTTAAGTTTTTTGCTTGTTCAATTTGATTTCTAAAATTCAGTCAAGAAAGAAGGATTTTTTTTTTAAGAAACAGATCTTTGTTATTGGGTAATTACCAACCAATCAACACTTCCTGCGGGATTTTCAAATATGTCATTTACACTATGATAAGCCCATCAGAATAAGAAGAATCATATTGAAATTTTAATCTTGAGCAAAAGAGATAAACTGTTAAGTAAGACTCAGTTGTAACAAGAAAAATGAGATTTAAAAAAAATACTTCTAAGAACAGTTATATAAGAATCAGAATAAGAATGGGTTTAATAG